TATCAATAGTATGAAAATTTGGAAATTCGGCCGGAAAAACTGAAAACATGAATAATTACTGTGCTTAACTATGTAGATATGTAACGAATGCCATTGTTCATTTTAAGGGTTTCGTAAATAGTGTACCTAATCGATAGCATAATAAGAATGAGCTGGTTTATGCTTGAATCGAAGGTTACTGCTATGAAGAAAATGTGACTCTGGATGAGACTAATCAGTTTATTTCTTTTTCAGTGGCCAAATGACGTGAAAGTGTGGCCATGGGTGCCGCCACCATGATGCGGTCGTCGCTGGTAACGTATTGCTTGGTGGTGGCAGCAATCATCGCAAATGTGGTCGCTGTCGCCTCGCCAACGGATATTATTCGAAGCTTTTCCGATAAAGATTATGGAACCACATTTAACCACCTGGTCGTTGACAAGAATACCGGAAGAGTTTACGTTGGAGCTGTGAATAGATTATACCAACTATCACCTGATTTGGAGCTTGTAGTGTCGGAGCAAACTGGGCCTAAGATGGATTCAGATGATTGTTCAGTATTGGAATGTCATAACACTAAGAACAAGAAGCTCACTGATAATGTGAACAAAGCATTGGTGATCGACTACACCACAACCCGACTGATTGCTTGCGGCAGCTTGTTTCAAGGTATTTGCACAGTGCGAAATCTGCAAAATATTTCGGATGGAGCGATAGAAATTCGGGAAGCTGTAGTACCCAACAACGCAACAGCTTCAACAGTTGCATTTATAGCACCTGGACCTCCACATCCGCCAGTGTCTCAAGTAATGTATGTGGGTGTGACATTTACACTGGGCTCGTACCGCTCAGAAGTTCCAGCAGTGAGTTCAAGATCGTTAGACAAAGACAAGATGTTTGCAATCGCTCAAACCGCAGTGACTACTGGGACCAGAATGTTCGTCAATTCTTTAGCTAGAGAACGTTATCCAATAACGTACGTTTACGGTTTTGCGTCGGGTGGTTTTAGTTACTTTCTTACAACGCAAATGCAACACACATCATATAGTCAATTTATCAGTAAGCTGGTACGAGTCTGTCATGATGACGAAAATTATTACTCGTATACGGAAATTCCAATTAATTGTACCACTGAAGGTAGAAACTATAGTCTGGTTCAAGCAGCTTACGTCGGTAAAGCGGGATCAGATTTGGCATCTGACTTGGGCATTACTGCACAAGATGACGTGCTATTTGCGGTATTTAGTGAAAGTGATAAAATTGTTATGAACAAACCCTCAAATTTCTCAGCCTTGTGCGTCTACTCCCTTAAGGCGATTAGAAGAAAATTCATGGAGAACATTAAGACCTGTTTCAGTGGAAAAGGACAGCGAGGACTGGATTTCATATCTCCTAGTCATGCATGTGTGTTAACGGTGAGTAACATGTACATTTTTTGTTTTAAAAAAGTCCATGCTAGTTGCTCAAGTTAAATGACAAAAAAAGCGACTGATAGGCATCTTTTGGTGCTGAAACAATCGAGAACAATAATGATCTATTTTGTTTGAAGTGGCGTTACGAAAAGCTATTTCAAAAGATCCGTCACGCTGCTTCAAACTACACTTAAGCTATTATAACATTTAATAAAATCGATGATCAATGAAAAGTAACCATCACTAACTCATTGCTAAGAGATAATTTATCACAAAAAAATTGGTTGCTTTTTGGAATGTAATTACATTTGTTTGCAAGTGATTTTCAATTTGAACAATATTATTTCGAGTTCCTAATTTATCTAAGATTTCAAGCTAATATTGCTCCGAGTTTTTTCCGTTACAATATCTATATGATAGTGTAACGGAAATGGCCTGGGGTACTCACGTTTGAAATGGAGGGATCAAAATTCATGGTATATTCACGGGAGCCTCGATTAGGTAATTCCTGGATCATGGTTCTATCTGGCCAAACGGTGAATGTGGACAACTTTAAATTTTGCCCGAGGGCTCTTCTGATTGCTCATCAACAGTTCAAGTCAGGTTCAGTTGAAGAACTTGAACAGATCGCCAGTATCGGCCAGTTTTCTTCTGCGCTGCTCGCAAACCATTTGCAAGCTGACCCACGCAGACACCACTTCTTGTTCTCTATTTGTACTCTCTTTCGCTCTGTCGCCCGCATAGCTGGCTTGAAGCTTGGCCGATTCTTCTTGGATCTGTTGCACTTGGTTCTGAAGCGTCTGCAGGTCTTGCATGAAGTTCTGATGTTTGCGCTGCAGCGTTGAAACAGAACCAGCATCTCGGCTCAGTTCATGAAAAGAGGCCACCACTTCTGAACTTCTTAAACTGAACTGAAACTTCTTCTTCCAAGAAGAGCTGCAAGGCCTCATCCAGCTTAGCGCGACGTTCTTGCGCCAAATCGTTCAGTCCGGCATACAGCTTGTCCAGTTGCGACTGTTTAACAGCGACCTGCTCGGCCAAAGGATGTCCTTCAGTCGACAAGGCCTTTACAGTTTCACCCAGTCCTCTGATGGTGTCCGCATAAGCTTCAACGGCCGCTTCCAGACTTGCTTCTTCATGAAGTTCCTGGCGCTGGTCTCATCTTTGCCCTGATCTTCCACCATCATGTAGAGCTGCTCGCTCATCCAGCTCTCGGCCTCATTGGCATCGAACAGATACTCCTGCGCCCGTTCGTTCCTCAGCAAGTTGGCTCGTCTATTACCGATGGCTTCCTTTTCCCTAATTTAATTTTCGCTTAACCGTCGATGCTCTCTGGTGGTGTCAATAACAGATTCGTTCTGTAATGACGCCACTGCTAAAAGAGTCTCCAAATTCCATGCAGCGTTTATGGATTCTACATCAGGCTGAGCTTCGGCTGGCGCATTTTCTTCAATGGAAATATTTTCTTCTTTTGGCAATTCTGGGTCGGAAAATTGCTCAATTTCAGTAGCGATTTTAATTAAATTGGCGTCTTCATCTATGCTGGGAAATCATGTACGGGTTTATCGCTAGTTGGCCCATTGCACTCAGAATCAGATGATTCTTCACTCAAACAAACTACTTTTTCTAAGCCCGGTTCCACAGTTTTCCTTCTGAGCATTATCTCGGGTTTAGTTTTCGCTGATTCAAGCAGATTTTGCGCATTTTTCTGCATAGTTACATACTCATGTTCCACTGGCTTAGTGATGTCTTCGATTTTATCACTCACAGTTTTATCAGCAACCGACAATTCTTCAGTCTTCACAATAGTCGCTTCGTCCGTAATCACCTTGTCTGAT